TAATGGATAGTGCACTCGCCCGATCAGCGGGTTCGAGTCCCGCCCGGGTTCTGACTTTTGCCCATAACTCAGCATCATAGCGTAACTTCTGGAACGCGAACTACGGCGCTAAACAGCAATTATCGCAATGAAACAAAGCTAAACTGTCGCTCATGGTGGTCTTAGGGTCCATCATAAGAAATCGGTCGACTCGATTCCTCCCGAAATGCGGAGATTTCTTTCTCACGGGCATTTTTTTAGACTTCGATACAAATTCACCTCACCTCACCAACAGCAAGTATGATCGCTTCAAATGAAAAAAATCGGAGACAGAACTCATCAGGCATCTCCTCGCCCGGTTCGATGCGAAGTAAGAATCTTTCCAAAGGAAAAAAATACCAGTGAATAAGTTTGTGGAACTGAGTGGAAGGAGATGTTTCGAGAAAAGGGAGCTTTGATAATTCGTGTAGATCAGCAGAAGCATTGTTTCGTTTGAGCGGAAGTGGTTTGAAAGAATTCAGCTGAGAGCAGAAGGCGCGGTTTGAGTAGAAAATGGGCGACGAAGTCTTGAAATGGGTCTCATTTCCGAATTCTCTTCTGCCCATTCGTCTGAGTATCCCATCAAACTCGTCTGGACGGGAAGGATGAGGCTAGAATTGCAAGTTAAATTCATGTGAGTCAACGGTTCAGTCTATGTGCTTTCGATGGTTCGCCACGCGCTTAATGACTACCTTATCACTTTTGTTTTTTCTTCTCGAAATGAAGTCAAAGTTCAAATGAAGCAGTGAGAGGTCAGAAGCTTGCTTCTTGATGTTTTTTAGTCGCTATTGCTGAGATTCCCTATCTGGTGGAAAGTATATATGATTTCTCATGACCTCAGCTCATGGAAGGCATCTCTGAGAAAATGAGCGCATACGCCCATCCCCTGTTTTGGTAGGGTCCTAATTATAAGCTCCAGAGGAGACTTCGTATTGACCTTGCCATTTTATTCAGCGGTATGATGTGCTTGAGCATAGAACATTTGCCGGTCTCCCCTAATTTCGAGAGGCAGCACTTGCTGCCGTTAATACAAGACTTCAGTGTACTCATAGTTTCCTTGTAGTCGTAAAAATAATATATTGCGACTAGTTACGTTCAGCTGCAAATCTGTAGCCGTTAAATGACTTTTCAGAGGCGAGAAAAGCAAAGATAAATTGTGGAGAACACCCTAAGTAAGGACTTGCAGCCTTTCTGGACGAGTTATCCAGACCTGCTCATTTTATGCCGGCAAAGCTTTTTCTGCCGCCTCACTAATCTCTCTTAGCGTCATTCAATACTATTACCATCTAACAGTGGAAAAGAAACAACGACAGAAACAGTCTCATGTTGCGGTGGGCGGGACAACTGTGTAGGAAGGCGTCAGAACTGCCGCTTGTGAGGGCCGCGCGAATTTGTTACTTCCTCCTGTGAAGCAGAGAAAAGGACACTCCTAGAAGACCAGTCTACCAGACTACTTGCACAAGCAAGGACGCCTGCGAATCGCCTGAGGGTGGGGACTGTCTTTAAGGAATGCGAAAATTCAGTTCTTCATTCGCAAAAGTTCGGCAGCTTCTGAATGACCTTACAGTAACCAATTCCTCACCACGGTAAGAACGTAACTCCATTGACAGGCGCTGTACTCACGAAAAAATTTTTTCTCAACAACAGTGTATTTCAAATACCGTGAAGTACCAAGCTGAAGAAGGAAGAAAGTTTAAATTTGACCGTTTTTCTGGATTTGTATAGAGTGCAAAGACATTCTAGGAGTAAACTTCATTGGTTGTAGCTCTAACTGTAACTAGACTACGTTACAAAGTCCTTCAGATACACTGCAGGTGTATGATCCTGGACAGCCCGCATCGCTCGTACATGGATCTCCCATTGTGTAGATTAACTGATTCATGTAGTTGCCTCTGAAACATATTAATAGCGTAAAGAGCAGTCTCGCACGTTGTAAGTTTTATTTTGGCAATATTTGAATCCAAAAAATGAGCTTCTGCGCCCAACGACTGGACATTACTGCTTTCTGAAGGTGGCATGGATCTTTCCTCATTGATGGGTTCCTGCGTTTTACCACATATGATAAATTTATTTTACACATCTAATGGCACTTTGTCCAGCTGACTCCGCCCACACGATGACCGTGGAATGAGTCTTCGAAGGCAATGATAAAGTAGATCTGAAGTGAACGAGTAAAACCTACGCTGGGCCATATTGGCAGACCGCATAAGTGAAGGTCGCACAGTGCTGTATTGAGCAACCAAGTCTATACGTGCGATCCCATGCCATCTGTCATGAAAAAAAAACGTGGAATATATGATATATTCTCCCTGATGGTCAAACGAGTTGGAACAAGACAACCGTAATTTGTCGCGCCTCGCGCGCGGCATACCAAGCGGCAGTGAGAGGCAACTTCTCGTTGTGCATCAGTTTCTGATAAGAGCAGCGAAACCCGTACAAATTCAAGCGAAACAAGATCACATGAAGGCAAAATCCAACTTTCCTCTCCATTCAAAGCCCAGATTCAAACAGAAAGGATAGGCTACTCTACTGTCGGGCGCGGCTCGCTCGCCACGCCCATCATACACATTACGATTGTCTTGTCCCACACTCTGGTCAAAGTAACAGGGCAAAGCTGAAATTCCGTAATCTCACCTGTGTATAATGACCAATCTGCATATTGGGCCTGTCCCATAGCGCTTGGGTCAGGTTATTCGCTGGTCCCACACCGTACTCTTTTAGTTCATCCCACCACAGCTGCGAGGACTGAAATACATACTTTTGCCATTTTGTGACCTGGAGTAAGTTGTTTCTGAGTAATACTATGTAGGATAGTTCAGTTTAGGATTATGACCAGTGACCTTTGGAGATCCCATAATCAGTGGCTTCGGGAGTCCAAATGATTTTCAGGCCAAAAAAGTACCGGCTGACCTCTGCGGCGCTGGCAACTCTGTCAGCGTTCAACATCGATGTCATGTAGAGGTTTTCGCCGAGCCCAACACGATCACCTGGCAAGGAATGCTCATAGACACATTTCTGGCTGTGCAGTATAGCAGATGCTTCCACGCTGCAGTCGTAAACCTGTAAACACAGTCTGAATCTGACTCAAGTTGCACGCTTATTTTTTTTTCTTGGCGTATTTCCCTACAGGGAGAGCTTTGGTCCACCATTGCACCTTCGCCCTTGGAGATATCTCGTTTTTCTGATACTGGGAACAGAAGGATCACACCAATTAGAAAAGTGCGGTGGTAGGCCCGACCACAGCCACGTAAAACACGTGGAGCGTGCCGTAATGACAGGTCTTGCAGTGGAGTAGAAAGCAAGAAATGCTCACCATTTTCAGCATTTGCGAAGCTTTTGGGGCATTTCCACCAAGTGCATCCGGTTCTAGTCCATTGGCGACACGCGACCTTCCAAGAAATTAAGTATGGCGGTACCCGAAAGTAAATAATTGTGACTGCATTTATTCTAAAGGTTTTAACAGAAGAAATGCAGACCTGAGGTATGTTTGTGATAGTATTACCAGGAATTTCTGTCTTGTGGCATCAGTCATGTTGGCGTTCGACGGACACATCGTGTTAGTACCAGGGTCTGTATAATAAACAATTCTTAAATTATTCTCGGTCATAGTTGATATCGTCGCAATCTTGGGGCGGTGCCAGGATGCGAGGGATTTTAACATCATCATCTCCACGGTCGTGTATCCTGTTGCCTCGGGCTTTCTCTAGAATTTGTCCACCTACTGCTTAATCCGCTGTTACTTTACGACGTGGTATTCTTATCATATTCCATTTATCACGACTCCAGCGGTATATATTTCGTCGCAGTTACTTCACTGTGGACTTGCAGTGAAAGTTTCCGGTCGTCGACTAGTCAAGTTCGATATTGATTTAACTATGTCAAAGGAAGACGCGATCTCGCCAATCTGCCGTTGCAGAAGGAGTTTCTTCGAGTGGTTCGGCTGATTGTCTATCAGAGAGTGATTTTCAAAGATGTCTATCTCGGAAATCGTTAGCGCTATGTTGGGACGGAACGAGGTGTTGAAGGATCAGGTCATGGGCAGATACTGTCCTCATCATTACGGACTGTCGGGGCGTGTCAGCCAGTAGGAGTGCGCACACTGTTGAAGCCGTTCTCAGCCTTTTTGTTGAAACGCGTATGCGACAAAAAGTGGTAGAAAACGAGTAATACGAAGGATATAATACAGTAATGTCACTTGCCCGCTTCAACAATTGGTGCAGAACGACTTCGGTACCGCGCCCTGACACGCCCCGACAGTCCGTAATGATGAGTATTGTACATCAACGCGTTAGTTTCGAAACTGCCAGAAACTATAGCTGACGCAGTTGAAGCCGAGAAAAGAGGGCGCAGTTTGGTGGGCGGAGTTTGGTCTTAGATTGTGTAGGAGTTGAGTGTCGTCCTGTGGAAGTGTACCGCATGGGGAAACCCGGTGGTACACATCCACGGCTGGTTAAACTCGTACTTCCATCAAAGGGCCATTGGGTCACTGCCCTAATGAATAGTTACCGTCTGCGTGCCGCGGGACTATCTAACATCTTTATACGAAAAAGTTTAACTTCCGCGGGAACGCAAGCGGGAGGCAGGAGTGCAGGGCCCGCAACAAGCAGGCAAATGGCCGTATTTGGGTGGTGTACCGTGGTGAGCTGAGGCGGGTCGACGAGCTCCCAAAACACGGGGCTCGGGAAACGCCTGAGCCGCCACGGTTCACTGCGAGGTGTTCGATGTTTTCTTTTTAATGCGAGAAGCTTAAGGAACAAATTACACCACGATACGTATGACCCAGACTTGATTTGCATTACCGAAACATGGCTGTCCTCGAAAATATCAGTTCTGAACTTCTTGGAAATCGCGCCTACAATATTTTCCGTTTGGATCGTGAAAAAGCGGAGGGGTG